AAGTATGACAGCCTCAGTTTGGTCATCTTGGCTTCTAGGGAGGTTTCCCGCTTGATCTGCCTTAGGACCCACTAGTTTGCCCTTTTGGCTGTCCATGGGATCCTCAGCACTCTTCTCCAGAAACACATTATTTCAAATGCTTTGATTTTCCTCCTATCTTTCTTAACTGTCCAGCTCTCATATCCATACATGGTAAGAGGGAATACAATGGCTTGTATGATTCTGACTTTTGTGCTGAGTTGTATATTTTTGTATTTTAGAACCTTTTCTACTTCTTTCGTAGCCACTCTCCCCGTTCTTAGGGCCTTTGCCGACTGCTAGAAATAATGCAATTTGGGTCCACTTTAAGGGTTAGGGAATCATGGGAACTGTATTTTATTGTGGCACCAGAGCTCTCTGACAGAGAAGGCTCAATGTCTCAGAAAAAAAACACATTTCCCATGATTCCCTAGCACTAACCCTAGCCCTTAAAGTGGACTCAATTTGCACTATTTCTAGCAGTCTGCAAAGGCCCTTAGTCTTCTTTGGATTTCCTGACTGCAGTCCCCATTTTTATCAGTGCTTGATTCCAGGTGTGGGAATTCTTTTACTATTTCTATAGCAGCGCTAATTTCTTTCCCATGCACATGGAAGCAAATTTTTGCAATGATTAAAAAACAAAACTTGTTTTAAAGTTTTTTTTTTATCATTTTTAATTGTACTGTTTTTTAAACGAAATTATCTGTTTTAATATTGCAATCATTTAATTCTATTTGGATGGTCACTTTTGTAAGTTTTTAAGTGCACTGTGCTTTTAAACTGTAAGTCGCTTTGAGCCCCAATTCTGAGGGGAAAGCAGGATGCAAATAAATATAATGCTGTAATATAATTAAATATAATAATTATAACAATTATAACATATAACATAGACTCCAACCATCCATGGAGAGAGAAATCCCAGAGGTCCAAGTGGGGTTCAGGAAAGGAAGAGGCATGAGGCACCACAATACAAACATACAATGGCTAATGGCACACCAGGAAATTCCAAAAGAAAATCAGCATGTGCTTTATAGACTACAGCATAGACATGAAAGGCTATGGAAAGCCCTTAAAGACATGGGAGTGCCAACACATATGATAGTCCTGATGAGGAATCTGTACTCAGAACAAGAGGCTACTGTCAGAACAGAACATGGAGAAACAGAATGGTTCCCAATTGGCAAGGGAGTCAGACAAGGCTGCATCCTTTAACTCTATCTGTTCAACTTGTATGCAGAACATATAAGCAAAGCAGGTTTAGGCTCAGAAGAAGGAGTGAAGATAGAAGGAAGGAATATTAATAACCGATATGCAGATGACACCATGCTACTGGCTGAAAACATCATGGACATGGAAAAGTACTAAGGAACATCAAGGAAGAAAGTCTAAAGGCAGGCTTAACACTTAACATAAAGAAAACAAAAATAATTACCACAAAGGATTTACATAAATTCAGCCTAGACAATGAGGAAATTCTGTTGTTGATCTTGAGTTGATCTCGACCCATGGCGACCCTATGGATGAGACATCTCCAAGACCCCCTGTCCTCCACTGCTCTGCTTAAATCCTGCAAACTAATACCCATCACCTCCTTAATAGGGTCTATCCATATGGCATGTGGCTTTCCTCTCTTCCTACTTCCCTCCACCTTTCCCAGCATTATTGTCTTTTCTAATGAGTCCTTCCTTCTCATGATGTGTCCAAAGTCTGACAGCCTCAGTTTGATCATCTTGGTTTCCAGGGAGTTTTCCGGCTTGATCTGCTCTAGGATCCATTTCTTTGTCCTTTTGTCTGCCCATGGCATCCTCAACACTCTTCTCCAGCACCCCATCTCAAATGAATTGATTTTCTTCCTACAATACAAATAGTAAAAAGAAATACAAATAGTAAAAGAATTCCCATACTTTGAATAAAAATTTGTTCAGAAAGGAGATTACAGCCAAGAAATAAGACTAGAAGGGCAGCTATGAAAGAATTAGACAAGATCCTAAAGAGTAAAGATATACAGCTGAACACTAAAGTGAGGATAGTCCAAGTCATTGTATTCCCCACCATGGATGGATGTGAGAGGTACAGTGAAAAAAGTGGATAGGAAGACAATCAATTCATTTGAGATGTCCAGCTGGAGAAAAGTGCCATGGGCAGCCAAAAAGAGTTCAATGTAATTCAATTGATATTAAATTCAACATTGAATTAAGTACACAAGAGCCCTGGTGGTGCAGTGGTTAAATGCCTGAATTGCAGCCACTCACTCACAAACCACAAGGTTGTGAGTTCAGTCCCAGCTAGGGGCTCAGGCTCTACTCAGCCTGGAATCCTTCTGAGATCGCTAAAATTAATACGCTTGTTGGGGGCAATTAGCTTACACATCGTAAACCGCTTAGGGCAGGGGTAGGCAACCTTTCCCCTTTAAGGGCCGAGGGACTTCAGCTCCCAGAAGCCTCAGCCATGTTGGCCAATAGTCCCATGTTGGCCAATAGCTCCTGGGATTCTGGGAGCTGAAGTCCCTCGGCCCTTAAAGGGGACAGGTTGCCTACCCCTGGCTTAGGGAGTGCTTAAGTGCACTGATAAGCAGTATAGAAATGTATTTGCTTTTGCTATTGCTACTGAGTTAAATGTTCTGTGTAAATAGTACTGAGCTAGATATACCAAGGACTGCTAAAAAGATAAATGAATGGGTCCCAGAGCAAATCAGGCATCAACTCTCCCTAGAAGCCAATTCATTAGAGGCTGGTCTATTTTGGACAGTCAGGTTGAGAGGCCACTTTAACTGCCCTGACTCAGTGCTAGAGAATCATGGGAACTGTAGTTTATTGTGGCATCAGAGCTCTCTGACAGAGAAGGCTCAATGTCTCAGAAAAAAATACAGTTCCCATGATTCCCTAGCACTGAGCCAGGGCAGTTAAAGTGGACTCAATTTGCACTGTTTCTAGCAGTCTGCAAAGGCTATGAGTCTCCCTTATCCAGAATTCCAAAATCCAAAATATTCCAAAAACTAAAGCTTTTTTCATAGGTGGCTGACATAGTGACACCTTTGCTTTTTGATGTTTCAACATACACAAACTTTGTTTCATGCACAAAATTATTTAAAATATTGTATAAAATTACCTTCAAACTTTGTGTATGTGTATGTAAAACAGGGGTAGGCAACCTTTCCCCTTTAAGGGCTGAGGGACTTCAGCTCCCAGAAGCCTCAGCCATGTTGGCCAATAGTCCCATGTTGGCCAATAGCTCCTGGGATTCTGGGAGCTGAAGTCCCTCGGCCCTTAAAGGGGAAAGGTTGCCTACCCCTGATGTAAAACATAAATGACATTCGGATTTAGACTTGGGTACCATCTCTCAATATGTACATATATGCAAACACAGCTATTCAAAAATTCAAAAATATTCAAAATCCCAAACACCTTTGGTCTCAAGCATTTTGGATAAGGTAGAGTCAAC